GATGTGATCTCTGCCCAACCCTTGAATCAGTTGATCACTTGCTGCTTCGATGCCGTCTGGTTAACGCCCTCTGGCAAAGGCTTCTGCTAGGTCCTTTGGCCCTTCACTCCCCTGATATCCAGTCTTTTGTTTGTCAGGCAGTGGATCAGCTTGCTTTCACGCATAAATGGAATGTTGCTTTTGCGGCTTGTGCTGTCACCCTCTGGCAAGCTAGGAATGATCGAGTTTTCAACAACAAGTGCTGGGCGGAGTCATACATTAGGTTCCATGCCGCTGATTTGATATGTCTTTGGTCCAACAGAACTACAAAGCTGAGAGAAAAGGATGACTTGCATATTTGGGCTAATATGATCGAAGGCTAGGCCAGACCATACATATGTTCTCCCCTCTTTCCTTTCCTTTCTTTCTCTTTTTCTCTCTCTTTTGTTCTAGGCCGCTTGTGGCCTTGCACCCTGGTGCATTTCACAAGCTATGTAACCGAACCTTCTCCAGGCTCTGTGCCTGTTTGGAAATATAAGGTAGGCCTTGAGCCACCTTCTCATTTTCAAAAAAAAAAAGTGTAGCAGACGGCCAACACTCCCGTCGTGTAGGTGCCGTAAGCAGTTTCGCCCCTCTAAATCGATGGTTCCTATTTTTTTTTTGAAGTAATCGATGGTTCCTGTTTGGTGTCGTACAAAAACCATACTGAAACAATCGTGCGTGTAGCAGTGTTCGAGCCCACGCAATGTTTTTTTTTCCTGAATTGCAGTAGCATACGAGTTAACATTTCCCGGCAACAAAATATTTCTAGCATTGAAGTAGTATACACAAAAACTTGAATGTAGCAAAGGAACCTCGATTCACAATCCAAGCACCGCTTGCTTCACTGTTCTCTTTTCCCACGTATATCCACGAGAGGAGCTGTGTGGCAGTGTGGCAGCCAACCTTAATGGCAACCTTGCTTCTAGCAGTAGGCAAACCACGGGGAAGGGAGCAAGAGGGTGGCGATCGAGTAACCTCCTATGCTTCGGTCAGTTGCCCCAGCTGCTGCCTGCCTCTTTGGGTTCACACAGCTGCGCTCCTCGGCAGGTTCACTCTGCATGCCTTATTCAAAGTTAGGCATGCCTGGCTGTCTGTCTGTCAGTCACACCCCTTGATGATCAATGCGCTAGGAGGAATTTTGCAGCGGTAGCAAAATCTTGCTGCTCAGAGCCTGTGAATCTTGCCGTCGATCTTTGCTCCTTTTGACTTGCTTTCGAGCACACAGAAAGAGGAATTTTTTGAAAGTGTCGCTGTTCTTTGGCCACTTGCACATTCCACCGGATGCACGGTAGTACTACCAAGAGAGAATTTAAATGAAAAAAAATTGGGCTACGTTAAAATAAATTAAAAAAATTCTTCATAGAGGACAGTCGAAATAATTGCTTTTGTTGTCATGCAACGGGACCGTTGCACGGCGAAATAATTCCTTGTTCCCCTGATGCTGCGATGCGGGATGAAGGCTCCAAAGCCGGGAGATAAATTCGTTTTGTTTGCTTGTCGTTCCTGCTCATTCCTGGCCACCGGCTGCGTGCCATGCCAGGGCCATGTTTTTACTGGGCGGAAATAGGAGATTTCATTCCCACTCCACTCGTTTCTTCAACGGTGTCTTTGCTAGCTACTGGCACCCTCGATTGATTTGACGCGAGCATGACATCTTGGCCGGCTGCGCGCAGCCTGATCCAATCTACGTAGTAGCATGCGACTTGGATTCGAGTAGCTGTTACTCCTAGTTTACACGGCTCCCGAAGATACAACTCCGAGCTAGCTTAGCTAGGTTTTCACTTGGCAGCGCCGCCCGAGCAGAGGTAGCTGCATGGTGGAGCTGGTGAGCACAGCACAGCACAGCACAGGCACTGCGCTACGTTACGTTACGTGAGCTCATCACTGCTCGCAGCCATAATAAACCGACCCGGACGTGCATTGCATTGCATGCGTAGCTATCCACACACCGGGCTAAAACATGGGCCCATCGAAACGTTCCAAACCGCACAGGTTTTTCCTTCTCTCTACGGAACACCGAACCTCACAAGATGTATCTGCACAAATTGCGCGGCTACACTACGTACTCCAAGATGTTGGAGTCGAGGAAGGCCATGCATTTTCTGCGTTCGGTGCTGCCACGGGCCGGCGAGCAGGGGCTAGCCCTCTCCAGACCAAGTCCATCAAGTCGTTCACAAGTGTATAGCGCTACTACCACCTCCTACAGTAGTACTCCTACTATACTTCATGCTTGCAGATCGAGATGATGCGGTAAGCGTACGTATGTACTGTACTGTATGTCAATGGCGCTGCGCACAGAGCACTAAACCTGCCAGTCCCACATCAACCCGTTGCATTGTGCATCCGTCGTCCGGGCCGTACAGGGCTAGAGAGTACTCATACTAGGCGTCGTACTGGGCACCTACCTGTGTAGCCTATGCATGCGTGGCCAAACAAGGGAAGAAAGGCCGGGGCGAAACGAGTAACTCGGTGCGGGAACCAACAAGGCCTGAGCGTGAGCGATGCGTGACATGATTTGCCAAGGGAAGAGAATCCTGCGCCCAGAGATACTGCCACTGTGGGTATCCGTCTTCCCCGCGCCCACTCGTAGCACGTCGTACGTTACGTACGTATACATACATACGCTGGCACTGTTGCGCCCACCCACTGTCTCTCTGACCGGCACACCGCACATGACACACGTCGCTGTCCCCCGGTGGCGGAGTCAAAGGCTTTGGCCGGAGCCGTGGCCTCGGCCGCGCGTCTCATTCATTATGGCGAGGCGTGGTCACTGGCCTCGGCTTGGCCCATGGGAGGGAGGTGTCGTAGGGTTCTGCCTGTGTTCTGCTTTATTTTCAGGTGGTAAAACGAACGGGGCATGGCATGGCATGGATGGGGATCTGAGGGAGGTGCCTGGACCGGTGCATCCGGTTTGTCCCCTTCCGTTTGGTGCTCGCTCGCATGCACACTTGCAGCGGCACTTCAGTGAACTGTTGCTGGGTTTTTTTTGTGTGTGTGTATGAACGAACTTGTTCCTTTAAACTGCTGGCCTCGTTCTGAGAAGAAAAAAATATTGTTATTTTAGCACGAATAACATGCATGTGTGAGTGACACATCCATGAGCTCCCGTTGGAAGGGAAAAAAGAAGTGGTGTTCGGAGAGCAACAGAGAGAGAGAGAGATGTTGACTGGGCGATATAGCAGTAGATCCACATTGGGCTGGGAGGTGGTACGTACTCTATAATGGAGCAGTTGTCTTTTCCCTCGTAAAGAACCTCTCTCTCTCTCTGGTAGTATACGGTGGCAGTACAACGTCTGAACTCAATAAATCATGCTAATGATAGTAATGATAGCTACGACCAGTGCTCCGCTAATCCTAGACAGACGCAACCGTAATTATCACACAGCCCCTGCACCTGCAGTATCCAGACAGACGCAAGCTCTAGCCTCTAGCTCTAGCCATGCAAGGGAAGGGAGCGGCCACGGAGCACAGCACAACCAAGAAACCAAGGGGTAGAGCGGCGCCAAGGGCAATCAAGCTCCCACCACCACCAGTATAAAAACCAACTCCAGCCGTCTTGTCTTTTGCCACTCCAAGGTAGAAGAACAAGGGCAGCTTCGACAGAGGAGAAAGGAGGAGGAGGAGGAGGAGGAGGAGGAGCGACGGTGATCGAAAGGAAGCAGCCGCTCCTTGCCACAGCCAGACCAGAGATGGGGGGCAGCGTCAAGAAGCAGGAAGCCGTGAGGCGGTACGTCAGATCCCGGGCTCCCAGGATGCAATGGACGGCCGAGCTCCACAGAAGCTTCCTGCAGGCCATAGAGTGCCTCGGTGGAGAACACAGTGAGTTCCTTCCGCTCTTCTTCTTCTTCTTCCTGAAACGTATTCCTTTCCAAAGAATAATTGTTCTGCTTCTTCTTGTTGTTGCTCTTTCGGTTTGTTTCTCCCCGTATCCATTTTTTTCTCCTAGTTTTGCACCGGTTGTCTGCTGTGGTTGTAACTTGGTACCATGCTTGCTATTTTGTTGATTAGTTCTGGCATGAATCTAGTTTCTTGCCATGTCTGTTCTGTTGCCTGTTTTGCACTAGCCAGATCGTTGCAGCCGAGCTGTCCTTTGGGTTGTTCGTCTCCTTTTAATCTCTTTGGATCCTAATTATATCCTGGGCCTTGTTAATTTCAGATGCCACTCCTAAGCTGGTTCTTCAGGTCATGGGTGTGAAGGAGCTTACCATATCTCACGTCAAGAGCCATCTGCAGGTTATTTTCTCCAGTCGCCTGCACCCATCACTCTTGTATTTTCTTCCTTGCGGAGGAGCCTGCAAGACACTAGTACAAGACGGACTTCTCCCCGTTTGTTCCTTCTTTTGAACAGATGTACAGAGGCCCGAGCACTCGTAAGGCGAAGAAAGGTGAGAGATGAAGCTCTGCCATTTTAATTTCCATGCATCTTTCTTTACTGTTTCTTAGTTGAGAAATCTTTCTTTATTTAACCAGCCTAGGAAGTCTTTTTTATATATAAAAGAAGGGCTCTCCCCTTCCCTTTTTCATTAAAAAAACAAGCCTCGGAAGTCATAGGTTTTAGTACCTCCTTGTTTCTTGGGGATAAGAGATCAGGCCCTATTATTGTTATAAATTCGTTTGTCAACGCATTTTTAGCCCAGTTCCATCGGTTTTTTTTTACAATCTTCCGAAGCAAAGTTCACCTCCAAAACAATAGTACTACTGTAGAATGTTACACCACGAATAGTACTAGCAGCAGTGTTCACTTTCTTTAATTAAACATGAGACCAGATCGCCTCAAGGTCTGCGTGAGGCAACTCATTCGGTATTCATTGCCAAGCCTAGCCACATCCGCCACATGCTTATCACACTTGGCAACTAACCACTCATCGCTTCATCATGCATGCAGATCCTCTGCTCCAAAAGCTAGAAAGTTAATCTGCATGGGATTTTTTTTCCCTGTGCACACTTTAGATGTTGCTAGCTAATGGAAAGCCAAACCCCTTTCTTTCTTTCAGAGACGGAGGCACAGCTGCTGCAAAGGAGGCACTCATGTGCCGCTGATGAGCAGCAAGGAGGAGGCCCCAAGCCCTTCATGTGCCCACCTCTGAAAAGGTTTGTGCTAGCTCCAACCTTTTCAAACTTTGAACTGAGATGTGTTCAAGTTAAAAAGACAAAGCTTTTTGGAGGCCTAATCTTGACAAGAGAGCACCTTTTCCCCTGGGGTCATTGAAAAAACAGGGTCAGGACGGGGGCGGGGACGGAGGCCGCGCACGAAGCAGGCATGCAAGGAGGCCAAGGAATCAGTGGGATGATGACCAGCGGCGCTGTCAACCAGTACTCTATTGATGATTACTACTACATGCAAGCCATGGCCATGCAGAGGAGAATAATGGAGGGCCTCAGCTGTCAGAGGGATGCTGCGGCTGCTGCTGCTTCCAGCCTCCAGACCGTGGCATGTTTGGAGCAAGGATCTGGCGACTTTAAGGTACACATCTGCTGCAAAAGTAGCCACGATAAACATTGGGAAAGTTGATCTGAAGAAGAAATACCTTCTTTTGTCTTCAATTATTTCACACACCTTTTGCTTACGTGTCTCTTATTATCACTTGCGCACGTACAAATTGTTTGTTGATAATCTGATTTAGCTGAGCTCCTACGTAGCCACTTCATGTCCCTAGGCATTGGCCAACCAGAGTTTAGAATATTTTAATCGGGTTGCATGGTGCAATGTCATGACCAAACCATCCAATCCACAATGCTGCATGCCTGCATCTTGTGGGGCTTGTACTATGAGGGAGCTGAAATGTCCTGATTGACCGATGCACAATCTTTATCGTCCTATCAGGACTGTTGTATATCACTGTAGCATGCTCCGTAGACGACACTTCATTTATGTAGTTGCTGGTACATGTATCTGCCTACATATGCACACCCCACATAGCTAGGCTTGTGAATACCGTATTTGTACAAGGACAATGTAGCCCACCTTGCACTTTCAGTAATGGCATTTGATCTGCATTGTTCACTCCTGAGTCCTAGCACAGTTGTACCCGTCGGCATTCATCAGGATAATAATAGTCCAGGTAGAATTACAACATTAAAGCTCTTCTGGTGGTTTGCTCCGACTGGAAATTTCAGAAAACTGCACATGTCATTTAGCTTCTGAAACGCATAAATAGTACTAGTAGGAGTACTGGTGTACTAGCTCAGATCCTGCAGATCCTTGTGGTTTTACTTGAGCTAGGAAATTAGACACCTATATATCATAATGGTATGGTTGCATGCCAAGGAAGTAAATTTGAGAGTTACAACCAGCAGGAGTACCTCTCTGTTTAGGCCGTAGCTGGCATCAACTGATGCAGGAATTTATTCTTGACTGCAACCTTGCATTTGTTTTCAGCAGATAATCAAACCGGAAGCGCACTACTATCCTGGTCTTGTGGTGAAGAAGCTAGACCCCAAGGAGGACAGCAACGGGGCGGAGCAGTGCTCCCTGTCGCTCTCCCTTGGCCTGGACCCGAGATGCTTCCGTGCCGCCGTCTCATCGTCGTCGCCGAGCGAAGGCAGCTGCATCATCTCGTCGTCGTCGCCGCCGCCCCCGAGGAGGAGGAGCTCCAGCCACTACTCCGGGCACTCCGGCTGCTTCGACGCCCAGGGCATCAACTTGGAGCTCTCCCTGTCCATCTGTGGGTCGTAGACGACTGGCCGAAATTTTGTGCATCGATCTGTCTGTCCGTCACTCGTTTGGTGCATGGTGTTAGGATGATTAGGTAATGGCAGGTTGTTAGGTTAGGATTAGGAGTTCAGTGACGTTTATTAGAGTTAGCAGGTTACCAGGTTGCAAAGGCTATCTAGCTAGCTCCCCACTTTCAGGGCATCACGGTCGCACTGTTGCTTTCGGTCTTGGGCCAGAAAAGAAGAGGGGGAAAAGGCGAGCGAGGGAGATTCTTGCTTGGCCTCTGCATCTTTTCCTTTGCCTGAAACTGTTCGATCTCGTCACATGTAGCTTTCCGGAGTAGGGAGGGAGAACAGGTCCGGCTTGGCTGGCGAGATCAGCAGTGTTCCTTTTTGGTGTAGCCTGCTTGGTATGAGTACGTATACCTTGTTATTCCTTGCAGGTCAAAAAAACAAGAGGTAATAGCACCCCAGGTACCCTAACTTGCACAGGATGTGATGATCTAGTCCTAAACTTGCAAAATTTGACCAAGCCATACCCCAACTTGCATCTTATGTGATGTTTTAGTTTTAGGCCAATCACAGCGCGCCAATTGGCTGGGCCGGTCAGCGCGTGCAGTTTTGCACAAAACCCCCTGTCGTTTGCCTGATTCAACCCGCAGTATAGCACACCTGAATTAAATCTGGGACTAACCGGGGGCGGGGAGCGTCCATATTAGTACATGACGCTGTATAACATCTTCGGAGGAGAAATAGAGTACATATCTGCAAAGTGTTACTCATGCCTGACCAATGCCATGTTAACCAGTAAACTTCCAGACTTTCAGCAGCATTGGTCGAAGGCAAACTCACCGACGAGGGCCTCGAGTACGTCGTCCTTGATGGCGAACGCCTCGGTCCGGCACCCATCACACCTCGCCGCCGCCACCTGGTCCAGCTCCTTCTCCGCAGCACGGTCCGATGAAACATCGCTCCAGCTACCGATCTCTTCGGATATTTCCCTCTTCAGCAGGTCTTTGCTCATGGTGAGAGGCATTCGCAACAAAGCCTTGTACCCGCATTTCTCGAAGTCGCGGAACTTCGAGTCCAGCGACTCGACGATGCAGTCGAACAGGAAGTTGGTGCGTTGAAAGTTGTTTTCTTCCTGGAAGCTGAAGCTGCTCTCTGATCCATCGCCAAAGACGGCCTCAACGGTCTCCAGCATCTCAACGATGAATGAATGGAGTGATAGACTTGACGGTGTGCCACAGAAGAGGCTGTTGTCCAGAAGTAGCTCAGCATTTGCAATGGCTTCTCTGATGCTGTGGAGCCTGCCTTCTAGGAACTCAAAATCATGCTCTGGAGAACTCTGAACACATGGTATTTCTGCATTGCTGCCGTGATCATCAGTCTTCATTGTGTCGATGGACATGGACATATCTACGATTTCAAACTCTAGATTGAAGAGATCTTCCATTTTGTTCTCCATTGAAATAAAGAATTCAGTACTCTCTGCAGACAAAAGAAAAACCATACATTATCATCATAATCTATACTCCATTACACACGTCAAAACCTACTAATTCAATCCATTCTGTAAATCAGAATTGTTTTAAGCTTCTCTCTAAAGAGAGTTCATTTCAGCCGAGCAAAGTTAACTAGAAGATAGCGTAACAGAACACTGTCTTATAATAGTTCGAATATTAGTAATATATGTAAACTATTTGTTGTTTCTTCCGCTACTCATCGTGATACATACCTTTAATCTGCAACACCGCGTCAAGATGTGCACTAAAGCAATCAATTTCGTGGCCAAATGCATTTTATGCAAAACATAGCTATTCATTTAAGGTTTCGTCAGCATATAAACATATATTCTTACTTCAGATCAGCAACAGAAGTAGAGTAAATAAAGAGGAAACTTTATTTTGTAGCACACATTTTTTTCTTCAGAAAAGGCCTTTCAACCTAACTAAAAGTAAAATGGTTTGCAGGGGTTACTAGCTACTCCCTCCGTCCGAAAATACTTGTCATCAAAATGGATAAAAAAGATGTATCTAGAACTAATATACATCTAGATACATCCCCTTTTATTCATTTTGATGACAAGTATTTCCGGACGGAGGGAGTACAAAGTATCCTTACATCCTAGTACAACATTCAAGGTGATACTACAAAAGTATTTACCGATCTTTTCAGTTGGACTTCCTGAGGAGGAAGCATCGTGTGAGAAGCATGCTTCGAGGACAGATGTTGGGCTCGGCTGATTGGGCTCGTCATTTGTGCACGTAGCAGGAGAATCAGCCCTTGGTCACCCTGGAACTAGAACAAAAGAACATTTTCAAATTTCAATAGCAAGCTAGACAAAAAGTAGTGTGACCACTGATCACAGTACAATGAATGCCAAGTCATCCAAGTTGGTAAACCATTACTTCAGTAAAGACCAGGGAACATCCAATCACATTCCGAGGAACATTTTTTTAACAACAAATTCACAAAATGTACCAGGCATGGATTCATGTAAGTGCTCCCTTAGCAGTCTCTACGATTAGACAAAGTGATAAGTATAAGCACTACAATTTCATCGTATGGACATACTATCAAAGAGGTAATTTCATGATTGACTGATCAATATTGCTGAAGTAAACATAAGTAAGAGATATAAAAGGTTGACAAAATGAAGCAGTAGGGCAACGTCAAAACTGACCTGATAGCTCTTGTGAAACTCAGGTGATTGATCATTGGAATTGTATATAGTCTCAGCATTATTGAGAGGAGCCGATGAGTCGGAATAGTTCGTCTGGTCTGCAGCCTGGCGTGCCCCAGCTCTGCTGCGGGGCGCCGGGGTGACCGCGGTGCTGCGGCGAGGAGCAGGCGTACGCGATGGCCTGCAGCCTGGCGCTGGTCCTCGAGCTCTCGCGCGCGCCCGGCTCCGGCAGCCTCGACGCGGCGGCGTGTACGAGGCGGCTCCTCGCCGGCAGGTCGGCGCTGTGGTGGCTCCGCGGCGCGTGCGTGGGCGAGCCGGGCGCGGGCGGGCGCCGGCTCGGCGGCAGCATCACGACCACCGGCGCCGGCTCATTGTCTCCTCCCCCCGCTGACGCCTCCACCTTCCTCTGCTTCTGCGGCCTGGGCGGCGCGGCCGCGGCCGCGCGGGGGGCGGCGGGCCGGGACTCGAGGCCCATGAGGCGCGCGACGACGCCGGGAGGGGCGGCACCAGCTTTGCCATCGGCTCCAGCGGCCGCGCTCGGCGCGTGACGAGGAGGCTACGGGGCCGACGGAGAGGGCGGCGGCGGCGGCGCGAGCCTGCGGAGCGAGGAGCTGCGGGCGGCCGAGGGGAGCAGGCGGCGCGGGTTGAATCAGGCAAACGGCCGGGGGTTTTGTGCAAAACTGCGCGCGCTGACCGGCCCAGCCACTTGGCAGCCAATTGGCGCACTGTGATTGGCTTGGGACTAAAACATCACATGAGATGCAAGTTGGGGTATGGCTTGATCAAATTTTGCAAGTTTAGGACTAGATCATCACATCCTGTGCAAGTTAGGGTACATGGGATGCTATTACCTCAAAAAACAAAATGCAGGGGGCCGCAGTTCAAAAGTGTGCTTGTGCCATGACGTTGTTTCTACTTCCTGCTGTGCTGCTACTGGCGACCATGACGGCTCCTGCAGCTGCCACGAGAATACCCTGAACAAAGGAAAGGAGATTCCCTTTTCCCAAAAATCGCTACTGCATTTCTCGCTAGAGATCGAGCGTCCAGAGAATATATATAGGTGATGTTCTTTTAGGAGGCTACATCACCTCCTTGCTTGCTGGCGCCTCCTCCATAGGCAGCCGCATGCAGCACACAGAGCCAGCGAGCCTGCTTGGTGCAAGCCGGTCTCCGGCAAGAAAATGCCATGATCACTCCTAGTCCTAGTACAGCACCCACCTGCTTCGTGCAAGCCGGTCTCCAGCCGAAAAATGTCATGATCACTCCTGCTGCCGTATACAATGCTATTGCAAAACCGAACATGGCCAAGGGGCAGCAGGTGCAGGAATGACGAACACGATTTGACCAGGCTTCACTTAACACCTGCTCACTTGCCCTGAAATTCCTCATCAGAGCAGAGCCAAACAAGAGAACAACCAGATACTAATAACAGTACCATGATTAAAGAAAGGAACAGTCAAAAGATGTATACCGTATAAGGACCGAGCAAGTACGTGTGTGTACATGGAGTTACGAAAAGGGAGTACTCTACTCCAGAAGCATGTCAATACGGACCACCTGTCTTCTTCTGGCCAAAAGAGTAGATCAAAATTAACCTGTGGGTACATAGCGAAGAAAAAATAAATATATGGATGAGTGCTATTGAAAGCGATATTTGGTGAAAGATGAGGGCCATTTCAACTTTCCCAAAGATTATGAAACTGACACCGTTCAGCCCGGTACAAACCATCACCATGATGAACCTGGCCAGTGCGTGGTACGCTTGCGTTCGCAGTGGTGGAGAAACAAGCTCCGCACAGGCTTCTGCTGCTGCCTGTCGATCATTCCGTATCGTGCATGCCATTGCGTTTGCTTTGTGAACTGGCCATTATAAGCTGTAAAGCTCTGGGCTTGGGTCCAGCGGCATCATGGCTTCCTGGGCTTTGACATTGAAGGGCACTGAAAAGGTGGCAAAGGAGCTAAACTCCAAGAACCGGAGAAATCATGGGGTTGGAACGATGAATGAGTGGCCTTCGCAAAGGGATTCTGTTTCACCCGTCTGTTGGCCCTCGCTAGTGGTTGGGCAATCATAACGGTTAGGAGTATGTGTATTTGTCCTTGAGAGTTGATCAAATTAAGAAGCCACCGTCTCACCGTTCGCTCCTTTATCGAAAGAGCAGGACTGTGGAAACAACCAAACTGTTATTGCCTGGCCGTCGCTTCCGTAATCAGAGACATATGTATGCAAACAAAGAATGATCAATGCGCTGAGAGTTTGCAGTGTGCATTGAACGGTACGGTCTGAATATCTTATCAAACTTCATTCAGCTGTCATCGTGGGCTTTGTTCTCTCCGGTGCAGGCTCTTGGCTCTTCTGTTTGGAGTCTCCACTTTACAAAACCTGCAAACTTTGCTATACTGAAACTCATTACTGCAAAGCTGAAGCTGAAGCAAGGTACTAACATGAACACACACACACACACACGCACACACCTTGACACTGGGTTGGGTTCTTCTCGCCAAGTAAAAGGAATCATGGAGAATCTTAGCGAGACGATGAAAAAACTGAGACTTGCCGGTCGAGTCGCGTCGTGCCAAATCGCTTTGCAGCTCTAGGACGAGACGGCAAAACCCAGGCAGCCCGCCCGCACGCGCGCGCTGGTCGACTGGTGATGGAGGGGACGGGCTGACGAGCACGAGGCCGGAAGGAAGCCGGCCGGCACGCCGTGGCTCCGTGCTAGCGGGGGTCGCATCGTGCCGGCGCGTGCCGATGATGGGTCATAATCACCACATGGACGGCAGCGCCGGTACGTTTTCGCTTCGGGTGGGGCGGTCGCCGTCGCGGTTCCAGCCTTCCACTGCATGCGGCGCGGCCTCGCGAAGCGGCGGGCGCCGGTGCACGCGAAACCAGATTTGGGACGCCAGAGGCAGTCGTGCAAACAGACTTAATTGCAAGACGTGCACCGCGAGCCCTATTTTCGTTGCGGGTAACAAGTTAGGAATTCAGTTAAAAAAAACCTAAGAAAAAGAATTCAGTTCAAAAAAGAAAAATGAAAAAGTTAGGAGGTGATGAGGGATCGCGCTCTGAATCCACTGGCCTCACTGCCGGCCCGATCAGTAAAGAAGAAAGATAAATAGATCGAGTGCCGCATCAAGAAATTGGATTTTTTTTTTCTTATGCTGGTAACGTAGTAGGTGTTAGATTTTTGCCGAGCCCCTTAAGGGATCCGCCATGAGAATAGGCTAGCGGTTTGTGCCTAGGGCACTCCGTTTTTTTTCTTCATTCTTCTTCTTTTATCCTTGACTAGCTATGTGCCCGTGCATTGTAATGGATTTAAATTAGAATAATACTTGTTCATAAACTTAAAAAAAAACACTCTAGTTTTGATATACATATATCACAAAAAATATATATTTCTCGAGCTGTTTTGATGAGGTGAGGGAGGGATGTGGTTGGTTTCAAAATACTAAGGTTTTTTTTTTGTAAATTGGAGCGGGAAAGTGAGCTATTGTTTCAAAAAGGTCACAACTTACCTCACAGTCATTAAATGCAGATCTAATGGTCAGAAATGATGGATGACAGACACACCATCGTCACCAACCGAGTCTTTTATAGGAGTATAGATCTTCGGATCGCCACCTTTGTCACTTTTTCCACCGCTCCCTGTTTAAATCAATGAAATACCAGTCAACGGCTGGTCCTTTCAAAAAAAATATCAAGAAATTGGACTTTTTCTTACGTTGGTACTAAGCTAGTACATAGTAGGGACGTGAATCGTTTTCTTACGCAAGGGAGGCGACTC